TGAATGGAAGCGAAGGCCAAAAAATATCACATCGATGAGGCATCGCCACAACGATAAGGTGAAGTGTTTGCAAGTTTGGATTATTCTAATTAGTTGAATTGCTCAAATATGGCAAAAAATACAGAAATACATTGTTTGTAATAGCTGATTCAATTCAGGGCCTACTAATATACGCAATGTTGGTATTCTGTTGCACGCTGTTGATGTGTATACTTCAAGCCGCACTGGCGATCTCAGTATTCGCCGATATGAAGGCCTTAAGATTATGGTTGTCATCGCAAGTTGGTTTCCCTAAAGTGTTGAACTTGTAGAGTTGAATAAAATTAAACGGAACTTTCTCAGCATATTTGTGGGCTGAGCAGAATTCAGCTAACAGGAATTCCAGTTTCTCACGTCGTAGAACCTAGGCATTTGTATACCATTTACGATTGGATTTTTTGATTCTTCTGCCGACGAGGTTGTTATGTGGAAACTTTATTAGTGGCCTGACGTCTTGACGCGACTTTTTAAAGGCCCAAACGTGGCTAAAGCTTTGAGAGATGTCCTCTAAACCGTCAAACTCCTCCTCTCACTAGCGTTGCTTATGATACGTTAGGGAGAACAAACGGAGAAACAACAACGAGGGAAATAAACTTACCCATTCCAGCATTGCAAGAGCGGAACAGCGCCACCCCGAGTCAATTACGGTTAGTAACTGAGACTTTCTGTGCGGTACAACAGCTATAGTAGACCTGCGCGTCTTGGTGTTTACCTTAGTAGCTCACATTGTGGCGTGAACGGCAAAACCTCCCTGTCCACTTTTTTTTCTTCCTCCACCTAACAACCTCGTTGACAGACGGATCACAACATAATTATAAATTACCTCACAGGTTCTCAGCCCATCATTGATCGGAATTGAGTTATGCCAAACTCACGCACAATTCAGGATTTCCTTCACACTTCGTGTCGAAACCTTTTGGAGCTGCACTGAATTGATACCCGGGCTAAGAGGATCGGAATGTCTTTTTTTTCATACATTATCCAACCGATGGTTTTCACGAATTTTTGCCATCATTCCGAAAAAGGATTCATAGCTCTCAAGCAGTCGAGAGTTTTGTCAGAAAAATATTCAGAAGAAAATCATAATAACAATACTCATCAAAGCTATACTACAAAAGAGCGCTGAGAAACACTGTAATGACCGGGGAACGGGCAGTTGAATCGGTTTTGTGTAGTCGATTCGCCGCAGGCGGCAGTCGCGGACTAGCTACTACGTTATTGCAATTATAGCGCTACTCATACAGCTCGATCGATATGCGATTATTATTTTTGTCATGATTTCTTTTGTTCCTGTTTTCCTTACCCGCTGCGCTGCTTCTGCTTCATTCTGCTATTTCCTTCGTGCGCGACGTCGCACTCGCCGCAAAGCGACCATTTCGATTCAACTGCACCACACCCTAATATCTAGACAAAATCGCGTTGACTTCAATAAGATGAAGCAACCACGTCTCATTTCCTCAGCTTCATCTACGACCCTAATAAACATCTTTTGAGGCCGACTGGTGATAATAAAGATCTTGTTGAGATTCCACAAAGTTTTTCAGTACTACTGGACTAACGACGTCATGGTCAGTATATCACCGTTCTTTTTGCTGCTGCTCTCTTCAGAGCTCCGCCGGGAGATTGTCAACCGTTTCCGATATAAGAAGGTGCAAAATAACTCGACAGTATTCGTTTCTTATCGAGGCAGCAGGAGATCCTTTGCGGCAGAATTTAAGTGATCATCATTCCTCCATATTTTTGTGCGTGCTTTGCTTCGCATACGCATACTAGATTAATGATTTTTTAAGTGCTTAGTATTGACTTCTACTATAATTTTATCGAAATAGCATAAATCAACCGAATAAACAGGTTATTCTGTAAATGATACAAACAAAGCAGATGTAATGCACGGTAAATGAAGTTAATCGCTAGATACGAACTCCCATTTGCAAGATATTTCAACTGTTTATTCAGTGTTCGAATTAATAGAAGCAAGCAGAAATTATGCAGTAATCGAAGGTAATGGGTGACTAAATTCATTCAAATTTCAGTTGAAATCGAGTTCACATCACCTGCAACAGCCACTAGGTCGCCTTCTACGGTGAGAGAAACTAGAGAAAGAAATAGAGGTAATCGTACACTGAGAGCCGAAGATGAGCAGATGGGAGCGAAACTGAGGCTGATAAGTCTATCGAAAGCGAAAAACACTTTCCCCTTAAAACTTTGTAGACAGCGAAAAAACGATGTAAGTAAGTCAAAGATTAATGACATCAGGGACAGGATAAGCAAAGATGAGCACTGTCCAGGACGGTCTGAACTAATTTACGTAGGATATGCCTATACTGCCATTTAATGCAGATTCAAACGCTATCATAGATATGGTGAAGAAAACTGATCTAAGGAAGATCGATTAAATATCTGAGGGCGAATTTTCGATTTGAGATCAACAAAGAGAAGAGAAACAAACAAGAATCAATACCCGGGTGACTTTGCCGTCAAAGCTATGAGCTTCTATATATCTGACTATTCTGGATTGCTGCAAGATTTTTTATTCCGTCCTACGCCCTGTCCAAAAGCCAACCACAGCAAAAGTTTACCTAGAATGAGTAGGTATGCAGAAGTGTAAGAGCATGAGAAAAGCGGGAAAAGCCGGGCAAAGCCATTATGTTATTATTGGCAACCAGCGACAAAATTATGGTTATGATTATGATTTATTATCGGAAATCAAAGAAAATAGCAGAGAGGCAAAAAGAAATACAAACAAGTATCCGATAAGCAGTAATTTTAAACTAATGGGGAACAACAGAGAGATCTGCGTGAAGAGGGATTGGAATCCGGCTCGAAAGGGCAATGGCCGCCAACACCGCAAGCTCGAACAAGACGACATATGTATGTAGAACTCCGGATACCGTCGTAGTAGGTCCGCCAACCTGCCGAAACCAAAACCAGCATCGCAGAGGTCAAGGGGTTAGTGTTACGTACAAAACGGAAAATCAATTATTTATAACAAAAAAAANAAAAAAAAGTAGACATAAAGTGACAGTTTTCTGAGTCAGACAAAGTTATTAATATAACAGCAAAATTAATCGCTTCTCTGCTTGATAAGTTAAAATTCGTTATTATTTGAACATTACAAACAGATCTCGACGGCAAGTTAACGGTACTACAAAAAGTGGTAATTTTTGCACTTGATGTGCCTATCAAGCAAAGCTATGTGTGACCCCTCCAATTTGAACACTCTTCCAGAGAAACCTATACAGCTTCTAACTTTGATTACGCTGGTTTTTATGGAGGCGATATTGCACGGTTGCACCGATACCACACTCATGGCCCGACAAACAACTTTCGTGAAGATACCTGCCTAACCTAGCAGAGTTTTTTCGGCGACAATCAGCTGATATGGAGTTTTCTGATAGAGAGGAACTTTTTCGCTGACTTCTGCATAGGTTGCCCCACAGTTGTATCGTATATAACCCCTGATCACAGGTTCCTCGTGATGTGAGGCGACGAATTGTTCGCCTATCGATGATCTTCCAACCTTCTTTTGTGTTTCGTTACTAAATTGAGCAATTTGTCTGGTTACTCTGTTGATTCCCATTCGGTGCTCTCCCCTTAGTCAATTGCTTTGGGCTAATAAAATGTAATTCCATTACTCCCTATCTTCATAACTATAGGAGTCAGTCGGTACCTTGATTCGAAAGTCAAGCATAAGCACAGCGTTTGAAAGCTATATCTCTGTAGATGACCGTAGAGTCTCAGGCACTTAGCCCTAAACCGCTATGCTGTATATCCAACCAGGCTGAGGCGGTATCGCACTATCGCACGAGCATGATTACGTGTTCAATTCCGGCCCGATATACGCTTAGCTCAAGCAGGCCTTCTATCCCCAAGATTCGGTTAATCGGGATAAGAATAGTGTGGGAGGATAAAAGCACTGTATTGATCAAGGTTCACAGACTTTCTTCTTGAACCTTTCCAAGGCCCCGAGCGGACCATCCAGTATTTTTCATAGCATTTTCGCCTGCTCTTCAATGTCAATTGCTGTGAGGGTCGTAAAGGACTGGCCTTTTCTTTTTTGACATAATCATTTACCCCCACTGCGCTTTTTTTCTACCTACCTGCAATGCTCTGCCCTATGAGCAACTTCACTCTGATCAGCTTCATTTTTGCAGTTCTACTTATTTTTATCATACAGAACTCTATAATCCTTTTGATCGAACAACTTTCTTTTCCAGATGTCGATTGCGATTGTTCAAGCGGGAACCGTTATCTACGATACGCCAGCAACATTAGATAAATTAGAACGGTTAACTATGGAGGCTGTTCATAAGGGGGCCAAGCTTGTACTCTTTCCAGGTCGGAGTATTAGCTGTTTATAGTCCGTTTTTAATATGTCACAACTGAAATGTGCGCTTTCAGAAGGGTTTGTTGGTGGTTACCCAAAAGGAATGGATTTTGGTATTGTTGTCGGTCAGCACACACAGGAAGGTTCTGAAGAGTTCAGGAAGTACTGTACATTCCTTATAGAACTTAGTTATAGAATTTACATGGTATTCCGCTTGTTCACAGAGGTATTTGGGAAGAATATGCCGAAAATTTACCAAAGTTCTAGGGTATTGTCTGGAATTTTCTGGAAATTTCCAGTAGTCAGTTGACCATAACATAACCCTTGGACCTTCTCTCCTAACTTGAGAAAAACCGTTCAAAAGTGGCTTCCAGCCTAGATACTAGTACCAGAAGTTCCGATGGACTGGAGGACTGGTCAAGTCTAACTAATAAGAAGGAATCGAAAAAGAGGAGACAATGATCGACTTGATAGAAGGCTCTAAGGAACCGTTGAAAGACCCAGTTCCTTTCGGTACTCAGAACGCTATCGCGTAAACTGCCTAGCAGAATACCCTAATGCAATGCAAAATGTGGTTCATAAAAGTTATCAAAGAGAAGGATAATTGGAGCACAGAAGTGAAATAAAAAGACTTTTTGAATGATTCAATAAATAGTTCAGATATTACAACTCGGCTATCGAGGAACATGGTCCAGAGTCGCAACGCATGGCCAAGTTGGCTATTACCCATAAAATTATAATGGTCGTTGGTGTAATAGAGCGTGATGTCAACACCTTATACTGCGCGGTAATTTTTGCTTCAGTTATAAAGTCTAAGGATTGATAGATGCAATATTATCAGAAGTCCAGAGTCCATAGAGTGCATTCGCCTCCACGGACAACGCCCAACTCACCACACTTTTTGACTGCTGTCTTTATAATAGGAATTCTCTGCCTATCAATAAAAATTAGTGAAGACTTTTTGTAGGAATAGTGGTAGTGCTCTAGTGATTAATAAGGTTTCTCACGATTCCGTTTTTGAAGGATTTTTTACTTTTTATCTTGAAAAACAGAGTTTTTAACTAGCATTGAGTACAGCGGTTTAAGAACTCTTCCAACTTCTTCAGATTTTTTATTACGGGCCTGATGGTTATATGGGAAAACATCGAAAGCTGGTGCCCACCGAATTAGAACGATGTCTTTGGGGACGTGGAGACGGTTCAACTATGCCGGTTGGTTCATTCTCCAATGGCCTGACTTACAATATGAACAATAACTATACAGTTTTAGTCAGGTCATCAGTAGCCGAATTTCTTTTTGATGAAAATTTTTAGGTCTTCGACACACCAATGGGAAAGATTGGAGGAGCTATTTGTTGGGAGAACTACATGCCGCTGTATCGTGTGTTCCTATACAGCAAAGGTAATCTGCCTTGGAGACACAATTTCGTTGGGCTATTTAGTATTAAACGAACAAGGAAGTGATAGCAAAGAAGTTTGAGAAGAAAACGTGAAAATCGGCTTTGCTTGAGAAGTATGATTCCCCAAGAAGGCAGTAAAATCAGAGGTTCGACGAAAAGTGATGACAAAAGTTAATGGGAGGACTACTTGGACGAGTGACTTAACGAGAAACCCAATTAAGGTGCTTAATAAGTCACTGATGAAGACTTCTGTGTGCCTTTTCACTTACTGAGAATGGTTTAAAAAACCACTAGTTGTTGATCCACCGTTGTCTGGGATGCGCCCCGCATTAGACCTCTATGCAAAATTGCTCTGCCTTATAGATGTACAAACCAGTGCACTATGTACTTCTAGAAGTGGCATGAGAATAAACCCTGGTATTCATCTCAATTGCTCTGTCTTATAGATTTACAAACCAGTGCACTATGTTCTCCTTATGTTCTAATCAGGGAAAAATGTCGGGAAATGGTTGCCTTGTTAGGCGTGAACGACGTCCTGTGTAGGATGTGTATTGGACAGACACCAGTCAACTATGTTTGCAGTAGACAGTGACTGTTCAGGTATTCAGCTGTACATGGCACCCGCAGCGGACGATCTTGAACGATGGCTTCCAACCGTGAGAATGATAGCACTCGAGGGAAGGTAAGATAGGGATAGGAGATTGTATGATGTGAATTTGGCTATTCTTCCGTTCTGCATTCTTCTATTGTATAAAGGAAGCGCGCATCAGAATACTCCTCACTAATTTGCATTTTACGCTGTCTTAAGCTGCATTTATACTGCACCTCTGCAGCATCGGCTAGTGTGGTGTGTACTGCAAGCCAAAGCGCGGGAGCTGAAATCTCGCCTCTATTGATCGGTGGACACATAAGGATAGAGAGGACAACGCAAGGGAACCAAGAGAGGACTATACATCTTAATTATTTATAGAATTACAAGTCCATAAAAAAACTACCTAAAAGACCAATGCCGAGTCACGTTCAAATCCCCACGGACGCGCCACGCACACGGCAAAACTCTGATAGTGGTCTCGGGGCATCAAGCAGCCATGGTGGGGATCATCCCATGGATTCCACTGTGACCAACAAATTTGATAAATACGTTGGACTTCTGCAATAGTACGAGTTGTGTGCTGGCAGGGCGTCACGGACATGAATTCCCATACCTGCTACGATATTTGTGATTAGTTGGTAATGTACAGCACTTCTGCAACCCTTCTGCCAAATATCGAACTTTGATAAAACTAGGATTTTCAGATGTTTTGTCTTCTCAGCAATCCAATTTCTGACTACATCGGACTTCCCAGATGGCCATTCAATTCGGCTGAAACATGGGAACGATAAGGTCAGTTTTCTTTGAGAACAATGACGCTTTCACGTGTCAGTGTAGTAAATATTTTTGTATTCAAGGTTCTTCTACGTGGCGGTTCCTGTGCCATTGATCCTCAAGGCAATGTACTCGTGGAGCCCAACTACACAAAGGAGACCATACAGTCAGTTTAGCTCAGATTATTGTCCGATCTATAAAACAGCTATTTTGAGAATTTCAGCTATGTCAACATAGACCTTGCTGAAATTGCACGAGGCAAAATGGATTTGGATTCCGTAGGACACTATAGCCGTCCGGATATCTTCCAAGTTACCGTCAACGAGAAACCATTGAATAACGTAGTCAGAAGCTAGGTCGCGTGAGGATCTTCACCTATGATGCACATGGAATTCAATATTTAACTTTAGCTGGTTGTACCTCTCGGTTTCCACATTCTTTTTTTTGATATTCGCTGACTGGAATCAATATTTCTAGAGGGTACTGCTCGAGCGATTGACAACTGTCTCCTTACATTCACCTTCATAATTGACGCTTTGTACCTTTGCGTATATAAACTTTAAGATCTAGATGTACATTACAAATAATTCGATTGCATGAATAATTAATAAAATAATTAAGTATAATAAAAAGAATAATTAATACTCACACGGGTTGCAAAAGCTACCAGTTCGTAATAGATTCAAGGTGGTTTTGAGATGGATAGTTGTAGCTTTCCTACGAGTATATCTGAGTTTTGCCTGCTCGCCTTCTGAAGGTGAAACGCAAACCATCAGGGGTCGAAAATTGTTATACCACAACTAATTGTAAGAACTAATTCCAAGGTTCAGTTTCACGCCCTTACCGTTGTCTGGGAAGAAAACGAAAGTTCAAGACGGGAACCAGATTACTAAGTAATCTGGCTGATTGTGACGCACACGGTCAGATGGAGTTGGAATAAGGTTATACAATAGAATGAAGTATCATTTTTTGAATTCTTCCGCACCTAATTCCAACACAAGGCCGTTACAAGAGCCGAAATCCCTTGTTTATTCTGGGTTCTTAATATGGGCTTCACATTTTCAGTGGTCAAGTGTCAGGAAGGTGCATCATGGTACACAATCGCGCCACCCCTGATTCTCTGGTTTCGTGTAAAGGCGGAAAGAATATATAACTGTTTAGGTTCGAGCACATTTGTGAGTAACAGTATAGGAAGCAAAACAATGGCAAAACACTCGAACCCAAAAGCGTGGGATCGAGAGCTCGAATGGCGTATCGTGTTTGCTCCACCCATGGAATGTCGAAGTGAGAATCTCCAGGAAGTGTTTACAGTAGGTGTCGCAAAATCCCTGTCGCCATGATTTCCTGCGACAACGAGATTTCGCGTTTGAAGCATCATCCCAAAAGCATTCCCTTGTTAGTGGAAGGTGCATGCTAACAGTTTTCATCGTCAGTTAAGCGTACAAATCAACAGTTTAACTCATAAAACGACCGGTAAACAAAACGAGGCAAGCTGTGTTGAACCATATGTTTTCATCCCAAAATTGTTTTCAACAACATCTGGGCTATATATACCCGTTTGACTGTGGTGTGGTCCATTTTTTACGATGGGTGACGCTTACGAGTTCGCAGGAGCGCTAGGTGGAGACGGAGGAGGATCAGCACCTCCTCCACCAGGAGGAGCTTCACCGTCTCCCCCTCCACCTCCCGGAAGTGCACCACCCCCGAATCAACAAGGAACTGGAGGAAAACAGCCGTTACCAGTAGCGACAACGCCACGGACCCAGTTGGTAAGGTCTACTTTGAGGTTTCCGTGAAAATCACACCTAAGTCATAAGTTCCAGACAGAACAGCAGAAAAAAACAGCCGGACCGACGGTGATGTTTCTAGTTTTGTTTGGAAGAAAGACGAGAATGGCTCTAAGCTGCCTAATTTGCAGGTAAAGAAGAAGCCAGGGGCTCCTGCGAGCGCCAAAAAGAGGGTCAAGAAGAAAGTGCCGGAGAAACGTGAAATTATGGGTGAAGGCGATACAGTTCAAAGCGAACTACACACGTAAGTGGACTGCATATTGAAAGCTCACACACTGCCTCTGAAGGAGGTCTAAAGATGCGAACGTATGGTGTGACTGTGCTTCTAACAATTCGTCTGCCATGATATCGTCTCGGTGGAATTATGCAGCTTCACAACTGGGTCGCGGTGGAAATAACGAATGTTTGGTTGTCTGAGCTCTCTACTGCAAATGCGCACTGGCTTTGGACTCCGTTCCTTTTACAAAATCTATGACGGGTTTGTGAGTACACAACCTCCCTGCAACGCCCTGACGGGACTACAAATCGGCTTCCGACCGCCTCATGGAGTTGTACTTCTCTAAAGGGTTACCCTTGACTGATAACCACTCTAAGAACACCTCATGAGTGGCTAGGGTCCCCCGGAATGTGCGATCTCATTTTCGAAGGCCTAAACTTCCTGCTCGGCTGTGCTTGAGATACAACCGTGAAGCGCGATTTGAATTGTTGAAATGAATAGCTAATCTCCCTACTCTCCCTCAGTTTGCAGAAGCCCCTTGAGATACACTCAAGTTCAACCCCACCCTGCTCGTCTCATGCTATGATCTGCTTTTCTTTTCCAAGTGACTCTCTGGACGCTGCCTTAGCTTCCATACACTAGCTCGGCGAAAGCATTCAACTCTGAAAACCGACACGCTGTCTTAACCTCTTCCTGAATCTGTAAGTTCGATCTCCTATAAGTTTTTTTCAGATGGCGGGTTGTTAAACTGCTTGGTTCTGGTGGATTTGGAGACGTCTACAAGGTAGTGAAACACAACGATCCCGACAAAACGGTCAGTTTCCCTGATCACTTTCAAAGAGGGCACACCTATCGGCCGATAAAGTTCCGATGTGAGTCAGGAAATGCCAACAAATGGCAGTGCAGGAAATGGGTCAACACGTATATGACCGTGTCAAGACCCACGCAGCTAGATAGATAGCAGCCTAGTCACTCTAAGACGTACGTTATGAGGGGATTGCTTCTACGGTAGACCTCCTACCTTGGTTTTTCGGATGTTGTAGTCGATATCGTATGCCTGCGAATACGCCCATCCTCATTCCCTCAATGAAGCACAATAAAGTGCTGTCCCAGCAACGTGACGGAACATGGCCGCACTGCAAAAGCTGAGTGTGCTGCTTAGACCTGTTTATGTTACATTACCTAGTTTAAATGAGGTAGTGCTTCGATTGAGAACACACAAGATGAGGACAGATAGCTGCATTAGTTGAACAGTCGCAGCTTGGGAAGTATACAAGCTTTACAAAGTTGAAATGTAGTGCTTCCCCGATGCGAAGGAGGAAGAGAGCACCTTTCCAAAAAATCATTTGCCATTTAGGAATCCGCCATGAAAACTGAAATGGTTATTGGTGATCGCAGAATGTTGCGATTGAAAATCGAAGTGTTGGTTCTGATGAAATGCCATGAACAACCCGATCCCAACAACAAACAACACTTTGTTGCTTTCGTTGACAGAGGGAAGACGGCCAAGTTCAAAGTAATCCGCCCTATCGTCCTTGTAGGTTTCCTGTGACGAAAAACTGCTTTTACAGTTCCTTGTCATGGGCCTTGTATGGAAGTCTTTGGAAGATATTCGAAGAGATATACTCGGACACAATTATAGCAGATCAACTGTTGTACAATGCAGTATACAGACATTGATCGCTGTACGAGATCTCCATGGCATAGGTTATTTACATAGGAAAGTCTTAGTTCTCTGATTTACCCTTCATTCCATAATCAATGTTAATATTTCTTCATAACTGCCAGCTAGGTGGGACTAAATTGGACCATATACAACTTTCCTGCTCCTTCTATCGGCGTGGGGCTGACTTACACATAGGACCGAAAAGGGTCAGGAGATGCCCCTGCGGCCTTGTTCATGCGCGCTATGGCTAGAAGGAGTTCTGGACACGCCCATCGTTGAGTAATTGTCATACTTATTACTCCAATTTTTTAGGAGAATTAGTATACTAGAAAGACTGTGAACGATCCTAATTGGCCAGTATCAGTGTGCGCCTGAAATGCCCGAAATTTGGCAGCCTATTCACAGATACTTCACTTGTGCAGCCCAATCTGACCAGCAAATCATCTCCATTGACACTGATTTCAGGGATATAAAACCTCAAAACTATGCAGCGGGCCTTGGGGAACATCAGAGTACCATATACATGTTGGATTTTGGTATCGCTCGAAAATATACTATTGGAGAAACGAAAGAACTCAAGTTGGTTCAAAAAACACTGTCCATAGCTAATGGCTTCAGAAGTCTGAGCAACTTGTCATTCGAGCACATTTTCTTTCAGGTTACCTAGAGCTAAAGTGAGCTTCCTGGGCACTGTGCGATTCGCCTCACGAGCATGTCATAAACAGATTGAACAAGGGCGGAAGGATGACTTGGAGTCTTGGATCTTCATGGTATATCCTTTTGGAATAGGATTGGAATAAACTCCTTTCTTGTTATGTTGGATTGTGGCCCAACTTCCCGGGTGATGGATTCCGTACCCGAAGTCTCATTTCCCCGAGCAAGAACGCAGTGGTCCGCGACAACACCATAGTCACTTTCTGGATATTCAAGTTCCACCATCTATTCGAACCGTACTCGACTCCATGCCAGCTCTCCTCGACGGTCGGTCAATTCATGCCTCTTAGATCTAGGTAAGCAGAAGCATATGATACTAACCGAGTGCTTGGCGCATCCACAGAAGCATTAATTGAGGCTACTGCTTTACCCCTTTTCGGTCTTTGTCACTAGAGATTTGTGTTGCTAGTCCCCTCAATTATTTCTGCGAATACTGGCATGACTGCTCGATTCACTTAGGTATTTGAGTTATTCGATGACGCTTATGGTTTACCGTGGAAGAGAGCGGATCGTACAAAAGTTGTTCCACTGAAGGAGAAGTTTTTCAAGAATCAAAGTGCGATTTCAAAAAAGCAAACTTTTCTCTCTATCATTACAAATGTGTTTTCAGTTCCGAGATGTTACAAAGTGGTTCCAGCTGACTTTAAACGAATTGTTGAGTACATCGACGGAATGAAGTTCGCTGATGAGCCCGATTATGTGTCAGTCTTTTCCACTTGCTATGACTTACCTGAGACTTCCGCACGGTCTGTTAAGGAATTCAAAGGCCCCTTTCTCTGGTATCTAGCTGGTATTGGTATAGCTAAAAACTATGAAGGGAGTGGTCTTCGCGTTAGGTACATCAGGCGCCAGGTACCATAGGCTGGTTACTGGCGATCCATGGGCTACCTGTGGTGGAAAAAAACGGGGCAGTCGTTTCTATATGTACTTCTTCTGTGTAAACTCTGAAGATCTTTTCATATGGTAGCAGAACATAGTACAAACGCCGTTCATGGAATCACCAACAAGCCAACATTCCTCTGAAAAAGATCACTGGGCACTGAACCGAATTCTTTCTGTAATCCCGAACTCCACCATAAGTACATCTGTTAGCCGTACATTAATTACCGTAGTTGCGGATTACCGTAGGAATTCGGATCCGTGATAAACAGTCGCTTTTGTAAACCTCCTTGGATCGAATATCGCTTATCTTCTTTACCCAGTACGGGCGTAGGAGGCTCAAGGGTAGACAAGACTACACAAAATCCTGTTGGTGCTCACTTCTCAAACTTATGAATAATGCTTAGGGATCATTATTTCTAATCAGGCAGTTCGTATAGTTCATTAAGAAACCAAGCCGTCGACAAGTCTCGGGTTCAAAAAAATATATATTGTAGGTATATACTGAACTCCTTGAACTCGATAGCAAAAGAAAACAAAATCGATCTCAACCGAAAATTGGATTGGATTGGTGTTACACCGAAAGTTGTGAAAAAGAAACGAGATGTCTGTTTTAGGCTAAGTCCTTTCTTTATACATATGGTAGTATTCGCCCATATCGCAATTGCCAAGTCCCAGGCTGTTCTGTCAGTACCTACTGTTACCAGTACTGGTCTACCTGTATTAAACGCATTGCCAGTAACTGTATTCTAGCTTGACGAGGGTTGTCGGTACTATTCCCTGGGACTCCCTTTCGATTATCGATTAACCAAAGGCGTCAGGGTTCGTCAGCATACTTTCGTAAACTACTTGATATGACCTCTGGGTGGAATTAGATCCAAATCTGGACTTCGATTCTTTGTGTGTGTATGTCATTAAGCCAAAACCTAGTGAAGCGCGAATTTACGTCGAAGCATGCACTTGATAGTTGCCCTGCATGATGCTTTCTACGAGCGTCTTGTTTGTGACCTTTTACATTTATTTGCTGCGATCGCCGCGCGAAAAATCCGCGCAGCAATCTAACGATGTGCTTGTATTAATCAATGAAGCAGTCATCGCTCAACGTACTGAGGTGTGAGTCTTCACATTGAAGAACGCTCACAGCAAAACCTACCACTTCGGTACTGAAGAACTTATTATATGGTTGAATTCCATGACGGAATCGATTTCAGAGAACCGAAGTTTCATCGGACAATCGTCAGTCAGGATCGGAGTCTGGCTCATAATCCCATTTCTTCTATTGGATTTTATCACAAAATGTGAGTGATGAACCATTTTTTCGACAAAAAAAAATCATTCTTACAGTTCAACCTTCTGTTTATAGTATCATTTTCAAACGGACAGCAATCGCAACTATTGATCGAGTATTGATCTATTTAGTGATTTCGTAATGTGTCACATTTTTTCTGGCATAAATGCTGAGATTTTAGTTTTATTTCTGGGCACTTCCTTAATTTTAATAGAAATGAATGAAACATCAGAATGTAGATAAGATGGTTGACTTTCTTGTCTATATCAAGGAAAGGCACCACTGTACAAATCCACGAGACGGATTTCAAAGTCCCGTGAATGTGTTATACAGTAACCCGAAGGCACATTCAAGCGCCTCCAAACCCCCGTCACGTATACGACGCAACAATAAGGTTCCCTGGGTGAGGTCCTTGGGGTGATTGGTGAGGCGCTGGGGGTTGCTGCATCACACGGTCACGAGACATTGAAATCCCTCTACTCACAAAGTCCACCCAACGCAGAAACCCCGCCTACTTCATCTTCACATAACAAAACATTTAACCTAATAGATACTACATTATGCCCTGGCTAAGCTATGTATTCATTTTTCTTTTGAATCCAAATTATTAGGCCGTTTCCTGGGAGGCGGTTGTTCGGCGCTATCCCTCCTATCGCGCCGCCTATTCGACGCGGTTTGCCAGCTGGACAGCTAGTCCAATTGGTCGGGCAACCCGCTTCCTAGCCAGTTGATAGATGCCTGACCGATGAAGTCGCTACTGTTAAACACCAAGTTGTGAACCTGTTTGTATTCTCCTGACAGCGGGGTGTCTTCAGCTGAATGGGCAGTGGGTTCCTCGATCACCTGGACGAGTTGTCTAGCTCGCAAACCGCGTCGAATGGAATGGGTGGCGCGATGGGAGGGAACGTGCCAAACGACTTACATCCCCTTTTCCTGAACTAATCGGAGTGACCATTTCTAGCACTGTAAGAGATTTCGACGAAATAAGGAATATTTGGACGAGATTTTAATCGCTGCAGAGCCGATAAGCAAATAAGCACGTCTCTTATGAAGAGTGTTGAGCAGCAGCGGTCCTCGTAGTGGGTCTCCAGCTCTAATTGTGCCCTATCGACCATTTTCTACCTTGACATTGCCCTAGGAAGCATTTTCAGGACCATAAATTCATATCAACCCGAAGCTGAAAGTTTGCTCTTTTTGCGAGGTGTACCTCTGGAAGAAGAGGCGGGCCATCCCCCAAAATGCGTTTTTGTGACTACGTAAGTAGTGCTCAGAAACGAACGTTTTCAATGGAATTCCTACACAAAAGCTGATCTACAGATGCGAAGTTACTTTTCCGACTGCTTGTTTCTGAGCGTAGGTTTGCCCACCTTGAACTTGACATGAACTCTACATGCTGTGCGCAACTGTTTATAACTACCATTTTCTGGAATGAATCATGCGATTTTTTAAGATTTTGCTCAGAGTAACTGAAGGTCTCAAAGATGTCGACTTCTAGCTCGAACTGCGGATTCCTGTGATTGATCCTTTTTTCATGTTGTTCTAGTTCTAGCCACTCTCGACATCTTCTTTCTCTGAAAAAAAAATTTTTAGAAAATTCTGATTGACGAGCAGAAAATCTGACCACTGACCTTAGACATGCCTCTGCGAAGCATTTTAACACTGCGTCTTGGACATGGGCAATAGATTCCTGAACAGGAAAAATATATAAACCCGAACCACCCAAATGCAGTAGGCTACGCTTTCAGTATGGAATTATCTTGTCCTAATACTAATGGGAAAAGGATTTCCATCTTATGAAAGTATTAGATGTCAATTCTGCTGTTAACACTATTTTATTTTGTCAAACGTTGACTCACCGTCGCCTCCTGGCTCTCCTACTAATCCTGCTTCTCCAGGCATTCCATCTTCTCCTGGTGGACCCATTTCTCCGGGAGGTCCTGGTGGTCCCATTGGTCCCGGTGGGCCTTCGCCTCCAGGCATTCCATCAGGTCCGGGAGGTCCACTAGGTCCCGGTGGGCCAGGTGGTCCACCAAGTCCAGCTCCTCCGCCTCCACCGCCTTCTGCATCCATTCCAGGATCTCCGGGCATTCCAGGAGGACCAGGTTGACCTGGTGGTCCAGGTTCACCTATGAGTCCCGCCGGTCCAGGCGGCCCTGTCGCAGGAGCACCATATCCTCCACCTCCGGCAGCGGCTGGTCCAGGAGGACCCATACCACCAGGAGGGCCAGGTGGTCCTGGGGGACCTGCAGGACATATAATACATACTCCTAGCCCTCCTCCACCTCCTCCTCCGTTTCCTGAAGCGCCAGGTTGGCCAGGAGCTCCGGGTGGACCATCCAAGCCAGGTAGACCCGGCTCTCCTGGAGGCCCAGGTGGGCCCGGTGGACATTTATTAGCTTGTTTCCCATTTCCACCGCAATTGCATTGTCCCTGCGCTCCTCCGCTCACACCGAATCCATTTCCTCCGTTTCCACCTCCGTTTCCTCCTCCGTATCCGTTACCGTTTCCTCGATATCCGCCTCCGTTTCCTCCATAACCGTTCCCGTTTCCTCCAAAACCGTTCCCGCCTCCATATCCGTTGCCGCCTCCATATCCGTTTCCACCTCCATAACTGTTTCCTCCTCCCGCGAATGATGTTCCTTGATATCCTCCACCTCGTCCTCCTCTATAACCTCGCTTGATGCGACTAATTGACGTAATCAATGGATTCACTGACGGATCATATTTGGCTGGGACGGTCAGCTCTGTCATCGCTTGCCATGCACCAGAGGAGAGATCCTGAAACAGCATACTGATCAATTCAATTTTCAATGGCACTCAAAAACTTCTCTGATGAGGTGTAGCTTTCAGCCTATAGGTTTGGTCTATCAAGGAAGTATGTTAGCATAGTGAAATTCAAGTTTTCATTAAAAAAATAGGCCCATTAACACAAAAGTTCTTGTATGTAACTCATCAATAGGCTTAGTAGTCATTCCCAAAGTCGTCACAGTTTGNAACTGTGACGACTTTGGGAATGACTACTAAGCCTATTGATGAGTTACATAAAAGATCAGCGAATGGATTACCACCTTCTATACCCGAACCGTCGGTAATGATCAGTTGAAGAATCTTATTCACGAAACCAAGTTCTGTTTCAAATTTTTGGGTTACAAGGATGGTACCTCCTTCACTTATCAAGACATATTCTGCTCAAAGGTGTGTGTCGTTAGGTCAGCAGGGGGTCACGCCAGGTCCACTCGCGTGGCAGCACGATTTCTAATGGGGCAGTGTGTCGTTCGTGAAAATAACCGCGAGCGGAGAAATCGCGCGCGACTTGATGGAACATACTCTGGGCCTCCCTGTAGTCATACGCTTATTTTTCATTGTGTCCGAAATTCAGGGATAGAAATCGGGAATTACAAATACGCTCTACAATTAATTTTGGGAGAATCTTGCCTATCAATCTATATTAAATGGGAAAGAATATTTTAAGCCGGCTGTGTCGAAAACCTCCATGTGTTCCACTTGTTGTTAAAGCTTCAGATTTATTGGAGAGCCTAATCAGCCGACTGCAGAAAACACCCAGTATTCCAAAGCAGGAGCTTCATGTGGGTATAAGGACCCTCAAACTCGATACGTCGGCAACAGAAGCCGTCAGTCGGAATAAGGCGAAGAACTTGCTCTGTTGTATCTGCTAGAGTGGGACAGAAATGTGACGACAGGGGACAGATGGGGGGACCTGAATGATTTTGACGGCCAAGCACAAGGAGACCTTTGAAAATTCATCAGGTCTCACTCGAAACCCTCACTTGTTGTGGCGAACCAAGCCAATTATGATCAATGGCGTGACTCTCGCCGGTGAACAGAGCTATTTTGATTCTGAACGATAGGAAAAAACTATAAGTGAAGGACACACGGACGACAAGGGCATCTCCTTTCTGGTGTGGTGGTGCAAAAAAAAAGAGTACGTAGGCGGACAATGAAAAGACGCCGATTCCGGAAAGTTAGGAAGCGGAAAAAGTTTTCAACCAACAATTTCCAAGCTGTAATGTAATCGTTTTGACAACGATGAAACTTTGGAAACGAATGTGTAAGTACTCTAATAACCTTCACAGAGATTGAAAATTCTTCCACATTACTATGAGTTCCCAATAACTTATTTGGCTTCGTGCTGTCAATGACCGGCAGAAAGCCATAAGTTGATTTTCTCTTTTTTACTGATTCAGGAACAAAATCTAGGCCTTCCGAACCGTGTCAAAAGTTCCTAACCGGTCGATCAGCGTTCTAAAAGCAACAGTATTTCCCGATACCCCCTTTTATTGCGAACCGAATACCTAGGGCGGAAACTGTTCGATGGACTAGTCCGGGTGCATCATTTTTCTCTTCGTTTCATGGGTTACCAAGAGTCTTCAACTTTGATTCACATTTGCAGATAGGCGTGTTAGCAGGAAAAGTTGTCTCTCCTTTCGTCTATTCTCCTTCTTCGGACTCTTCAGCGCCACCCTGCTTCGTGACGAATCATGGGTCAAACCTTGGTCTTCTGGGCTACTACTGGAATTTCTTTCTCAGCGTATCACTCCTGCTCAATCCTAAAACAGCTCGATCCTAGAAGCACCTACAAATTAGCCCACAAAGCGTGTCGACCCAAGTATAAGGCAAACGTCTTCTATCGGCCCATCGTTTTTCTCAACAAAATTCGACGTCTACTGATTTCGGGGCAACCTATCAATAGTAACGAAGTTGATTTACAGAAGTGAATTTGAAAAGATTGCCGAGCGCCCGACCTCTCGTTCAATTTCTCCAATGCAGAAAAAAAACGAAAACCAGACTCGATGCAATTCTGCTCCGCTTTGTCCTTGCACAGGAGATAATCGGAGTTGCACTGCCTCAATCGGAATAGAACGCCATCAAAAGACGATTTACGTGAAAAGAGGGAATTCAGGAAGATATGCAAACCACAAAGCGGAACGGAAACACTCACTCATTCAATCAGTCTCCTGAAATATTGAGCGAGAGTTCGATTCCTACGGGGAATTAAAGAGGGTGGCATGACAACCAGTAACTCCTTCAAACTTTGCTCCGAACGAAGTTTTTATATGGGCTTTTCTTCAAAACTCTGTAGGTCCCAAATGCTTGGCGCGTCCAAAAGTTGTCTTCAAGACGCCAGAGCTCGATTGTAGCTTCTTTTGTAGGGTTATATGATGCCGTACTGATTTCTACTAACTGGTAAACGTGTTTTGATTGAAGGTATCCGAAGACTGAATATCCAGGGCCCAAGTATAAACCCAACATAGTAGAAACAAACCTTGAATTCACCCATATCCTTCATGACATCGTCGAAGAAATCGCTCATATCGCTGAACATATAAGCAGCTGCGAATAGACATATTGTAATGGCGATCGCAGACGTCGAAACGGCCACCGTCACCAACGTCTTCGCCTTCATCGTTGCCGTTGGTTGGTCGCAAAGGAGACGGTCTCTTTGGCGCCTCGTCCACCAGCATTCGCCACCTTTAAAACAGGGCCGTCGCAGGCCGTTCATTTGACCTTGACGTTTTTTGTTCGTCAAAATGTCACTGAAGAGCATCGTGTATCAGCCAAGTTCGATTTGTTAATTGTTCTCGAGTCTATGCAACAATCATACTGTATTCATGGGAGACAGCTTTTTCCCAGGAACAAAATACAGCGCATACATCAACTCTCATCGATACTGAGTGAAACCATTGGTTTTATAGTGCAGTGTACGGAACCGAGCTACGACCACAGTCAATTGGCTGAAAATCATCAAAGAAAGTTACTTTTCCTTGTCGATGAATGATGTCGAGCAGTTCTGCTAAAGAGGAATGGAAATGGGAAGGGTGAATCGCTAATGAGCCACAAGTCATCCCAAAGAATTGCATTCCCAACTTGTCTCCGGGCTTTACGCCCTGGTCAAATGATTAGTACCTTTATTGTCTGGAAGGGAGGAAAAAGTGGATCCCAAATTGACATGTTGGATCCTGTAGTTTTAGATAAAAGCTAAATGCATGGCTCACTCCGACTCGCAGAATGTGTCAAGCAGAACTTTTTTACACGGAAGTACCAACAGATTGTTGACTATTACCCACTCTTACTACCTAAGAGGAGGAGTGCGGGGGCATACCAAAAATGGGAATGAACAACGGCTGAAAGCTTTATCTATCTCCAACTGATTTAGAAGGAAAGCATTATATTATTTCTTTTCAAGGTAGCCTGGGGTTGACCCCTCTAGAAAACTTGCCCATTTACCTTCCAAAATGGCTAGTCACTGAGCAACAAATCGCCTTTCTAGGGAGGGAAGGGTGTTCATCAAGGACACGTTGACAGAAAAGGTCGGTTTTTTCTTTCTGACTGTGTCCAGTACCTGCTCGGCGCACCGGAATTCCTTTGTTGTTCAAGTGAATTCCATTTATACTCGACTGATCCGATCGGATAAGTACAAAGTAATAACTAGTAAAAACGCATTATTCCCAATTTTTGACGAATGCCTACTTTGTGCTGGAAGCTGCTGGAAATTATAACCATTCTTCAAAAACTAGGGTTGGCCCAATAGCTAAAACAGTCTCGGACATACTGGTAATTCCAATTTCCGTCGATTTCAGTAATGTAATTCAACTGAGAATGCTTTATTTCATCGGTGCTGCATTATATGAACCGAATGTTGAGTTAGAAAACTATTTGACACAAAAACTTCTCCTACTCATTTTCGCTGGCAGATACCCCTCTTGAGACAAGTCACCCAATCCTTGTTTGGTTTCAGACGACTTTCACCCATGCTCCGTCCACAAGGAACGGTTCTAGGCTCAGTCAAGGTAAGCTTTCAACACATTGATACACATTCCATCCGTTTTGATACTATTCAGTTCCAGTCGATTACCTAAGGAATCCGTGACAATCGTCTAGTACTTAGGGAATATACAGTAGCGCTCAAAAGCCTTCGGTGAAGTGCTTCGACGCTTTTTCGTTCATAGCTTTTTTCTTAGTAGACCAAATCGCGCAAAGTTTGGGTATTTTTAACTAAAGCATATTTCACCCTACCCAACACAATTTGACTGCGAAGCTGCAATATTCACAGATAGAGCAAGGTGTTTCTTGCGGTAGCAGATTTTGCTAAAACTAAAGTTGTTGACGTCTGCACTTATTCGCATCTTATGTGCGCTTCTCTCCTCTACTGTGTTCGGCATTACTGCTCGTACACTTTAGACATGTCAAAAAGGAAAGAGATTCTGGAAGGACCATCATCTATATTTTCAGTCGATTTCATTTTCATGCCTTTTGGAACATCTGGAACATGATCAGATTGCAGATTAATAGTGGTAAATATCCACAATAAACCCACGCTCCTAATATAGAAATTTCGCATTATCAGATCCAGTAGGAAAGGAGTTACGACTGAAAAGTACGGCTGAGGAACCAATTAATCGAAGACTTTTGAGCGCTACTGTACATATTCCTGTATGTTCAAACACTTTTATTTCGGTTTAAATGAACTTATCTGCTCCTTTCCAAACCGTTATTACGGAGTCTCTTGGAAACTAGTACTTTGACGGACGGAAGATGGGCAGAGAAATAACTACTTGGAATTTACTGCTTCGTCGAACGGGGGATGGACAGAAAAATATGGCAAGTGACCAACTCCGCGGGTATAGTCTGACTGGTGAGTAAAGGTCTGGAACAAGTCATGCTCTGATGCTCTTTTCCTCCGATATATTGCCTAGAAGGAAATGATCAGCTGACTTACAAATTGACAGGTCCTGGAGGTTATTTACAAGCTGTGTTCAATACCACTCCCTCAACATCAGGAAGGTAAATGTGTAGCGTATCTCCGAAAAGAAGCTGATCAACACCGAACTATTCATTCTATCCCATTCCATAGGCATTTAGGGGATTAGAAATAACCGTATAAAAGGGACTCACTAGTTAAATATTTACACATACACAGTGATTTTGCTCGTTACTGAGCATTGATCGCAGTATCGATTCGAAAACTATTTTGCCCACTTGAATTTCCGTCGACCGGTTCCACTAATAACCAGTATAAAATGAAAACAAAATCACTTTTAATGCAGTGAAATTCGTACCAGTTTCGACTTCAATCGTTCTCTGGTTTCTAATTGAGCTCATCGAAAGGCACATGCACTTTCATCAGTTGAACAATTCGAAATCGAAGAGTATTTTCCCTCAGCAAGACAGGTTTGTGATGTGATGTGCTGCTCTTCGAACTCATGTTCTGACCGAAACTTTGGAAACTCGAAGTCAGGAATACTTGTGGGACTCGGAGCGGGTTGCTTTGCTCATACAGCCGAAAAAAGCACCTCCAAGAAATTGACATTTATTTTTAAAAGAGATGAAAGTGTTCTCGGAATATTAAGAATGCAATTTCAGTTAGACTACTTGTAACCTGTTTTCCATACTGTGGCAGTCTCAGGCAGCATACCAAGACCCCATTCGTATTCCCATTGGTAGGTGAGAGTATCCCCTGCTAAGGCGTAAGGAGTATGTGGTATGGGGAAACTTTCTAGATGAAGGGGACGAAAAACTTCGAAATGACCCTCCCACGACAAAATTGCATTTCCTCTCTGGTTACACGTAACACAGCAAGAACTGTGAAAGAGAAAAAAGGATGAGCTTGGGTGCTTCCCTTCCATTTACTTCTATCCTGTCCATACCGCACGCTCCCTTCTGCCTCGTGGTGAGTAACTCATTATATTATTTTTCCGTTCTGATTACTCATACGAAGAGCAACCAGAGCACTCTGAGCTCCGCTGAGTATGAATGGATCATTACGGACCAACGAATACTTCATGATAATCATGAATGCACTTGATTAATAGAATATCAACATATTCATGGAGAAGTGGTAAAGTTAAAAGTCTTTGGCTTCAAACAACTCCGTTTTTGAGATACGCCATGAGAATTCGACTTCCATACAGTATCGTAGTGGCTTATTGAATGCGTATGTAGCCGATAGAATGACCAGCGGTGGTCAGCCGATGTCCAAGTCAGTGCATTTAACCTCCCAGACGAGTCTAGTATTAATTACCCGACCCAAAAAATACGGGAAAATTGGTTAGCCCGGGCGAGTACCGATTCGGAATTCGTTTTACAGACCATGCAGGTAGATTTGTTCTCGCAACTTACCACTACACCATCTCCGAAACTGTATGAAAGGAATACTCATCAAAACGAAAGTCACCGAACGACTTTTTTTTTGCTGCCATCAACAGTAACACAAATTCATGGAGGATCCTTGCTCTTACCATAATCCAATTAGTGTTTCGTACCACTCGAGGACTGTGTTATTTTTATGCCATCATTAGAAAGAACACAAATTCACAGCGGATCCTCTTTNTCCAGGGTAAGGCGGTCCTGTAACTTTGTTTCCATAACGTTTCGCCGATTTGAAAAGCAGATTCCAGATTTTCAGTGTTCGGATACATCTACAGCGGTATAAATCTCATATTGAATGGCCGCTGCGACAGTCGAAATATCTCTTCCTCGCATGTACAGAATTTCGGACTAGCACTCAATTTTCTTACTTGTCGCGTATCTAACAGCATCATTCCATATTTTGTCGGAAGCGGTGTTACTATAAACGTTCGAAGCGATTTCGACCTTGTCAGAGAAACTAATACCAAAAAATCGTTTTTGAAGAAAGAGATTGCAATCTTACTTACCATTACCAACACCAACCTGACAGATACCGCTTTATTTCCGCAGTTTCCATCTATGCCTACAGCAATGCGATTTATGTTTCCTATAAGAAAAAAAAACAATCCAGCGACAATTGTGACATATTGATAATGATCAAACAGAGAGGCATCAATCATCCGGAAATCATATCACAAATACGCAGCAATCAAAAAAAANAAAAAAAATTGTAATCATTTCAAATTCCATGAGAGAATCTCTTAATATTGCGCATCACATATACCAACCAATATCAATATTAACATATGATAAAAGAGAATAAAACATTACATTGTAATTTTCCTGCCTGATATGAATCATTCGCCTAGAGAATAACACAAAGTTTGGTCAGCAAAACTTTAACCATTGATAATATGAGTTAAATAACTGTACAGGTTAAAAAAGAAGAAAAAACTCAAACTTACTGAGGAAAATGCATCTTCATGGAAGAACAAAAATAAGGCAATCGCACAAGAATAACACCATTCAGAAAAAAGATATAAGAAGATAACGCGTATCCATTTCACAAATGCTCACATGCTACATCGGATAATAAAACTTACAGACTTGAATACATGTGAAAAAAAGGAAATCTGATGTAAAAAGAAAAAGTTGAAGGATTTTACAGATGCGTACTGATATTGACTGACATTAAGGAACAAAGATAGGCAAAAAAGGTATCGCGAAATGAGAACCACATAGAGTAAAAAGATTCATAAACATTCAAGGAGCACTGCCATCACAGTCTTCCTCATGATGGTGCACACCAAACATAGTATAAAATTCTGTAGCAGATATTCGTGAGTCCAGATCGACTAAAGGCTCACACGAGCTAGCACGAGGTCCAATATCTACCGTGTCCACGCACTAAAAATAGCTCTTTCTCAAGCTCTAACCAAGGTTAAATTGTTATGAACATCAGAAAGCACTCGCAGTTGTAACGGTCACTTTTGGTTATTATACTAGAACAGAGAGCGTGTTCAAAAACGCAACTAACATAAAATGTAGTGGCTTTGCTGGACAGTCTACCAATAAGGACCATTGCTCCTACACCCCAGTGTACTCCTTTTTCACGAGTTCTAAGCCAAGGTCAAGCGACAAAGTTTTTGATGCCAAAATCGGCAGAAATCAATAGAAGTGAACAAGCAAAGCGACCCGAGAGAAAGAACTCCAATCCTCGACATCAACTTCGAAGAGCCCCCTAAACACTGCCACATGCATACACCGCTTCATGCACTGACTTTAAAGACGTCGAAAATCATTACAAGAAATATGTCTGTAATAAGTGTTCCATTGCCTCCTTCTATATAAGACCTTTTCACTGTCAACCTACAAAAGAGGTTGCACAACAAACCTCTGAGGTATCAGGCATACTACAAGCACGGCTTGCCGCGCCAGCACAACTTTCGCTATCGTCGTCGTCATCTTCATCATCGCTGGCAATTCCAAAATGAGCCGCTCCATCAGGACTACAACAAATGACAATAAACTATTTGTTCAACTTCTTTTAAAATTCCTCATAGAAAAATTGATAAGCACGGAACTCCGAGAGGCGTTGGCTGACTGCTAGATGCCTTTCTATTTTCCACCTTATGAAACCATTTCAGCATCGGTAGGAAACCATGGAAATCAGAAAACGCCTTACCAAGCATATAAGCCTCAAATTTGACCTTAAAGTACACCTTGCTCTCAAACGAGAATTGGATATTAAAAGGACCAAAAAATCATCAAATTACGACCGCCATCGGCCTGGGTCATTTTCATTCCCTCGCTTTGAAAAAAAAAAGAGCGAAAAAAGGATTGAATCGTATAAAATTCCCTTTTACAAAAATTTCTGCTTTCAATCAGTTGGAGCCAATTTTTGAAGGCCTTCGATATTACCACTTAAAAAACGTAACAAATATCACTTGGAAGCTCAAAACCTCACCGATAACTCGTTGGCTGGCACACGACACCTGTCTCGAGATCGTAGTAGAGCTCGGCGCCAGGGAATACAGCTCTGTTAGGAGATATCTGAAATACGCTTTCAGAAAACTTCTGTACAGCTACATACTACCAAAATACAAAGACAACTTTTAACCTAGTCTTAACCCCTTTAACCTAAGCTAACCTGGAAGTACGTGTGTTCTGGGAGATGCTTCGCTACCGGTATATACCGTCTTTGATACATATCCTCCAGCCTAGGACGTTTCACTTCCGAACTGTATTCCATGTCGCCATTTTGAGAACCTTCAGATATCTCAAGCTGCCTCATTATCTGGAAAAAGTGGCTTTTCGCTCACTGACATCAGCAAAAAAATTAACAACAGTGCACCTGAAGAAACTCTTCTTTTTCCGCAATACGCCTTCTTTTCCTAGCTAACTTCGCTAGCGCCATAGTATTCGTCGACTCATGTACCTCTGTACTACACGAATGCCCATTTGTTTCCAGATCCGCACTACCCTTGATCTTATTTTCTGAAGTGTTCACAATAATAGACATCTTCTATTATATTTGGTCAAAGCGAAAAGAAAACCGACGATGGGCTTCCAGCATGTTTACAAAGGGACCGCCAAGAGCTATACAAATGTCCTCAATGATTTCATCACAATTTCCAAGGAGTTCTATATCCGCCTGATATCCCGATAATGGTTCCCTGAAACACGATAAATATTACCATCCAAATGGCACCAAAGCCAACGGTCATACAGAAATTTACTAACCGATTAATAAGGATCTGGGGAATATTCTGATCGACGCTAAAGGGAATTAGCGATACAGGTCGCACTTTCAGTGAAGAACCTGAGTACGTATTTCTTGGGATAGTATTGCAGAACATCAAAGTTGTATATATATAGTCATTGAAGCTTTTGGGAAGTAAGGATGGATAGTATTTGAGGAAGAACAGGAGTCAACGAGATACAAAACGCATACCAATAACCACTAGTAGATCGAGCTCATCTTTGTCAGCTGCCATCTGAGTGTGGAAAGTTTTTCCGAGTTCCTCGCCGAAAAATACTATGTCTGGCTTGATGATTCCATCCAAGCACTTTGGACATCGGGCCACTCGCTGCAATAGCCATTACATATTTTGCTATTTATGCCTTCCTCTGAAAGCTATGATGATTCGAGATCCACAAAAAAATTACTCTCAACTCGACCATGACTAGAACTTAGATATCACTGATGATTAAAGGGTCTATCACAAAATTTATGAGGTAACTCAAGAGGTTAATGAGGGCTTTCAAATACAGTACGGGTCAGGAGGCAAATGAAAATGGAAAAATGTTTTTACATCATAGTGACCATAAGACCAGAACGGTTGGTAGCAGGATTTTAACAGTTTCCATCTTACCCTTTCATCACAATCTCCATGAGGTAGTATTCAGATTGTCCGATGGAAGCTGTGATGAAACGGTACGATGGGAATTCGGTATCCAGAGCAAAGGAAGCACATCAAAGCGAACTTACAGAAAGAAATAGGAACACCACTGGTCACTGTTTAGCCATTTGACTAGCAATTAGAGAACAAAATTGAAACCACGAATACTCATATCACCCAAAACTAAGACTGACTTACTTTTGCCATGACGTCGTCCTTGATTACATCACCGTCGAACTTACTCAAGCACTTCAAGCACGTTGCTTTAGAAAACGACCCTGCAAGAGATGAGAATAACGGATACGGTTATTTTTTGTCATAACTCAACAACATCTTCGAAAAAGTACGGATCCGCCGAAAAATAGGTAATACCCGACGAACGAATCAAAAAACACGAAACAATTTTGTGAACTAACCATGGCACTCGACAACTTTTTCAATCTTCGCCTGCTTCTCGAGTGTATCAATATTTTGAGTGTAGTTTCTTAAAAGTTGGTTGTTCACCTCAAGTTGGCGAATGAATTTATGGGATATGGATGGTTCAAACTGGCCGGGAAAGATTTCCTGAAAATATCAAATTTCTCTCTCGCTGTATATGAAGCGATCACGTATAAAGCAGTACTGTCAGGGCCTTGGAATACTCTAGCGAATTCACAGGAACCTCATGAACTGCCACCTCCCTCAAAAGAAAAAGTAAGGTAAGGTTTTGCGAAGTGAAAGGATAAGAGATAAGCAAATAGGCATCTGAGAGGCGAGAGAGTCGAGACGGAGACCATGGCAGCCTAGCGAAGAAGGAAGAGTGAAGGCAAATAATTAATTAGGATTAGTTAGGGAATTTTCTGGTATAAACTTAATAGTTTTCATTGGTCTGACCGACAGTTAAAATCTTCCGGGAGCGGTGTCCATGTAGCTTAACACCAAATCTAAGGTCAACACAATGATATGGAGAAGAAGCTTTTGGTAGGAGTTTTCAATGAGTTGGAAACAACAGTAATCTAACTGAATGAGACTGGCAATGAAACTAACCGACGCAAAATCATAGAATGGAGCCGGATTGTGTATGAAATAACGGATGTCGAACATCGCTGTAGGGTCAGGAAGATCAGGAAAGTCGACATGTAAACGAGCATAAATACCTAAATACAAACTATAAGTACTCTCATAGAAAATAATTCATGCTTTTTAAAATGTTACTTCTGCTTTATATTGAAATGCAAAAAAAAGTTTATGGTAAGAAAAGTACCATCTTTGCTGCGAAAATCAGGGATCCCACAGGAAACAGAAACTCCTGCGCCAGTCAAAACAAGGATTCGCTTACGAGTTCTGAAAATTGTACGTTGAGAAACTGTTGAACAATTGGATTAAAATTTTCAATGGCGTAAGGTGAAGTACCTAAAAAGCTCTACAGCATCCTCGAATGTGTTATATTGTGGTAGTTTACTCCTAGTTGGTGGCCGATCCAAAATTTCCGCGAGGATTGACATAATCTTAAGGGAAAGACAGTAAGAACAATCTTCAGCAAATCTAACACAATGAGGTTCTATTAACGACAAGGAAACAGAAGCAACCAAAAAAGCCAGCCAAAAGTCATTTACGCACAGAACGGCGCTAGCCAAAGCAAAAAAGGAGCAGAAGAATATGTTATACCAAGTGTTCTGACCAGCCCTCTGGAGGTTCCTTGATTTTCGGATATAGAGCTTTAATCACATCAACAGGCGTAGCACCCGCACTGAACATTGCCTCCATCCTCATTAACGCATCTGATGAATTCTGAAATGAAATAGGATTTGATCGGTTACAAAACTTAGTTGTTTGAAGAATAATGAGTACAGATGATGGAAACAAATTACTTACAGGATTTCGCCAACATTCTGAGCCAACAGGAGATGGAACATCAGCACCGTCACCTTCATCATCTTGTGGAATATCAAGGCCACACATACCCAGTTTTGATGATGAGACATTCTGACAAAAAAGCAGCTTGTACATAAGAAAAAAAGACTAAAACCAACTAGAACAACAATGATTGAAACTCGAAAAGTTGAGAAATTATAAAGATATGATGATTGAAGCAACTACACACCTTAGCTCCCTCTTCAGGAGTCAATGTCGACAATTCAGAAGTTGCATCGCAACATCCGTTTTCGCCTGTAGCATTGACCATTGAATTTTATGGGCGAGAACCTCTGTAAGCAAGAAATCGAGAGAGAAAGTGAAGAGACTCAAAATTAAATAAATAGCGGAAACGATGAGGTAAAATCATCAAATAGAATAACAGAGGAAAGAACCAGATCGCTAAAATGCTAAAAAAGCGAAACTGCGACAGAAAATGACCAAAACCGGAGGAACACTAAAGGTTTGAAGAGGTATAAATAGATTTGATGAGAAAAATTTAAGAAAAGCACTTCTATCGAATCTCCGAATTAATTGTAGGCTAGCCCTAAGTGTAAACAAGGCATCATAATAAATCGTAAAAAATATAAACAAAAAAAACAAAAACAAATTACGTTTAAGTAAATGTAAATTCTTAAACGAAAAGGAGTACACTAATAGCCCAAGCCGTGGGGTGTACACCTGAAATTTAGTGTCATATCAATAGTAGAGTGTAAAAAGTAGCATCAGAAAAAACAAATGCATTGAATACAAACTAATTGGTCGAAATTATGCACACAGTTTGTGAAGGAACAAAATCAAATTCACGGATACTAGGAAGACTGGAGTTCTGAGGCAAAAACCACAAACAAGATATGAGGGAGGGCACATGCTTCTGGAAGACAGCTATGGCCGAAAAAAGATTCACAACTCTCTAAAAAACTTTATTATACTCGAGATCATAAAAAAGATGGACGGAATAACAGCGAAACGCACGCAGAGCGCAACGCTTTGAAAAGAAACCAGTGCCGTACGTGATGACGGTATCCACTATTTGACGCGCATTTTTCAGGACTGATTTTGAGTACTATGGCTTTTATTCATAAACAAATGCATATCATGATTACAGATGATGGTGTTTGGGATAGTTCTCCATTTCTTGTAGGGCTGATGCTTAACACTAACCTGGAACAATCCCAAATAAAGATTTGATCAACCACGGAGAGGTAGTGGGAAGGTAATGTAGGAATTTAATGGGTACTAGTATGATTTTTGAAGAAAAAGTACTTTTGTACGTGAAAGGGTAAGGTAGTGTTTTTAATTTGATTGGTTTCGGTTTTTTTAGGTTCGAGAAGCACCCACGCATTCGACTTTTGCTCAGAATAGTGATGGTGTTTGGAACGATATCAGGGCCTATATCATGGTTTCCGAGGGTCAGACGATATGTAATTAGATTATTCTATTCACCCTAGCCAAATAGGTAATCCGTCTAAGGGGCAGAAGTATTGACTTCTATATCAACTGGCCCTCGTAAGTACCAGTCGCATTGCTCTTCATTCCATCAGAGTCAGCATGATGCCGGTGGAAATGCTCTAACATACCAACCCTATTTAATTTTCCTTTAAACCGCCATCTCCCGTATTCTCTTAGAGAGGTGTCGATTACGATAGGAGAAGGGGGAGGAGGAATGTGATAATTTTCCAAATGGTTCTTACCCAGTCATTGAATACTACTACCACTTGACCCCTCTTGTAAACACTGTCCACTCTTCCAACAAAGGAGCAATCATCCTTGGTGGAGATGTATTGGGG